AGAGAGAGAGAGATTCCGTTGATAGAATTTCTCTTTTTCTATATATATATATATACATATAGAAGATAATATATTTATAAGGATAAAATATTATAACTGTAATGGGTTAATAATGGAATACTGAATCATTTAAAGAATAAAATTTTACATGTAATCAAGAAGAAAGAAAAAAAAGAAAGAAAATTTTTATAATTTTTAAAAAAATTTATGTGTATTTGCATAAATTTGAAAATATATTCTTGTACAATAATTGTATATTTTTTTTATTCAAAAATATTTTTTTTATAAAAATTATAATTATTCTTTTGGAAATCCATTTATAATAATTATATTGTTATTGCAATTTCTCAAAAATTATTTAAAATCAATTCGAAATATTTTATTATATTATTATATATATATTATTTCTTGTGATCAATCGAAATAACAAAATATAATGTTTAATTTTTTAAAATGGAAATTTTTCTTTTAGTATTAATTTTCACGAAAGAAAAAAGTTATTTTTTGAATATTGACAGAAAAGATTAATTTTTCGACATCAAACATTAAATATTATCTAAAATATACATGCAAAATTTCAGAATGATTTATAAAATAATTTTTGAGATATATTCAGTGATTTTGAAAATATTGATTAATATTTGAGATGTGCATATTTAACATATATTTTTGCTGAACTCTAGGAGGAGCTTTGTTTAGAATTGTATATCTTGAAAAATTTTAGTTAAATCATTTTGAAATTTTTACAGAATAGTTTTAGATTATATTTTTGAAAAATTGATTTTGTGACAGTTCTATTTTATGAAAAGTACATAATATTTTAAAAATGAAATTAATGATTGAAATTTTATTAGTTTTTTTAAGTTTTATTTATTTTTATATTTTATTTTATTTTATTAAATATAACTTTATAATTATGTAAAATATTTATGTAAAATAGAATAAAATTTTAAATTAAAAAATATTCAGAATTTAATATTTTGTCACCTTATTGTGAAAAAAAATTCCCAGATAAAATTTAAAGAAATATTGAAATTTTTGGAGATTGATTATATATTTATTCTATATATACATTTATATAAATTTTTATTTATTAAATTAGATTTTTTGGAATAGATAAATTTCTTTCTAAAATAATGATGAAAACTTTTATTATTTATGTTATATATATTATATATATATAAGGGAATATATTTTTTGATAATTTTTTTTATGAAACATTTCACTATTTTCATTTAAAAAAAAACATGTATATATATAAAATATATATATAAAGAAAATTATCAAAAAAATTTTGTAATATTAAAATTTTTAAAATTATTTGAATCAAAGAAAATATTATAAGTGTAAATGATTTTTTTGCAAATTGAATAAGAAAGATCAAACTTTATTTTTTTTAAATTGAATCATATAATTTTAAATACATTAATCGATAAATTTATTATAAAAAAATATTAATTTACAGTGCGGAATTCAAAAATTTGTTTCTGGAAAGAATGAGTCTAATCTAATTTGAAATACTTCTTCATTTTAGTTTGAAATGACATTATATCACATATATTTTTCCTATTGATAAAAAGAATTATATCTATTAATCTGCATAGAGAATGAAAAAGAATAGGATATCGAAATTAAATAAAATAGAGAGATATGAGTAAGTGAAAAACTTTGCTGAAAGTATCAAAAATGAATAAGAGGGAAAAATAAAAAATCATTCTTATTTCTGTCTAATTATTAAGAGATAAACTCTTAAGCTTTGCACATTTTTGTGAAAAATCTTCATTTACAAAATATTTTACTTTAAATATTACAATTTTGTACTATTAAAATTCGAGACAAAAATAATAATGATTTGTAATTAACTCTAATCTAAGACAAATCGTGAACAAATATGTAAAAACGAAACATGCATTTATTGGCCATTATTTTTAATTAAAAAAAAACACGTAAAATATATTCCACGCATAAAATAATAGTAGACATTCGATAATAAATAAGGGAAATGCATGATTTTGATTATATTTTTCGAAATTGTTTTATTAATTATAGTTAATTCGCAGCTTCTAATAATATGGAGTTGCAACATCTGAATTGTAATATTTTCTAAATCAATAATTTTTTAACATATTTTCTTATAGAAAAATAAATCGAATGCATTAAAAACTGTATCGTTTTATTACAAAAGAAGATGATTTTAAAATCTTTTCTGCTTAACTTACAAAAAAAAAATTCCATGTAACCTTTTTGAACCAAATAACTTTGAAACATTTTTTAATAATTTCAACTTCTTGATATTATATTGTTTTCACTTAAAGAAATAAAAATTTTTTGAAATTATTGAAATTCTTATATATCAGAAAATTAGTCAAACTAAACAAAATTATTATTAGAAAAAAAAATTGTAAAAAAATAATTGTAATGAAGAAATTATTATAGTTATTGTAATTATTATAATTAAAAAGGAAAATATAATATATTTAGATATAAATTATATTTTTATAATATAAATAATATATATAATTATATATATATTTTTATAATATAATACAAATAATATAATATAATAATTTTTATAATATAATAATAAAAAAGATCTATATAAATATATATATTATATATAAATTAAATATTGAAAATTAAATATAAATTAGTGAAATTAGAAAAACTAATTATAATTAATATAATAAATTTATCAATAATGATGATATAAAAATAATTAATGATGATTTTATATATAAATAGAAATAAAATAAAAAGTACAAAGATAATTTTTAATTTATTCAATTTGTATATTTTCATTTTAATTTTTCATATTAATATTATTTGATAATTTATTCAAAGCAGTTATTTGATAAAATAAGCAAAAAATTTCGAAAATAAAATTATTTTAAATTTTGCTAAAATTATATAAATAATATAAGAAAATGAGATAAATTCATATTTTAATATGAAAAATATTATTATTAGATTTTGACAACAATTTAAGTAGAAAAATAAGATTTAATTATATCAGCTTTGTTATAAAAACATTATACGAATTTAAATTTTATTTTTTTTATTAATTATAATTTTATTATTATTATTATTATTAAAAAATTGCATTCTCTATCTAATAAACACAAAAAAAATGTCTTTCCTTTATTAACATCACTTTACGTATAATATTGAAAACAATAATGTAACATTGAATACAATTCTTCTTTTAATTACAAAATATTTATTATTATTCTTCTACTTATTTTAAATGTAAACATTTATTTTGATTATTGATAAGAATTTTTGTATATATAATTATATAATATATATTTATTTATATTATTTCTATAATATTATACATTAATAACGACTTTTTCATTATGAAATTATTATATATATAATAACATAATATTAAAGAAATTAATATTTCTTTTAAATATTAATAAATTCGTGCAGTTTATTATTAGTAACAAGATTAATTTACAATTTACAAATTTTATTTTATCAATAACTAATAGTAATAAATTCTTTTATTGATCAAATGTAAAAGTAATATTAATAATTGAAATGATTTAAATGATGATGTAAATATTTCTTTATAGATAAAAAATAAAAAATGTTTAATATTTATAAATTCTGAATTTATTTTCTCAATTTTATTTTTAATTTTGATGATGAATATCATTTAATTGATATATAAATTATTTTGAAAACAAATTACTATATTATTTATTATATCATATTGTATATAGATATTAAAAGTGTCATATTTAAGATATTAAAAGTTTAATTTTTTCAAATTTTATATTATCATTTTCATATTATCATTATATGCAAATAATATCGATTATTTTTTGACTTTATATTATAACTTGCAAATTAATGAAATAGAAAAAAAGAAATACAAAGAAAATTTTAAATAAAAGTTGTTTCTTTTCATAATCAACTATCGTCTGGTAAAACATTTATTAATTGTTATACAATTAAAAAAGTTATAATTAAAAAAATTAATAATTTTTTAAATTTATTTTACAAAATTTTAATTAGCAGTTTAAATAACTGCAATAATATAAAAAATATTTTTTATTTTTAATAAGTTATATATATAAATCATACATTATAGTTATATATAATCATAACTTTGTTATGATTATTGATTTTCATTACGAAATAGAGAAATTTATATATATATTTTTGTTTTTTAGTAAACATTGGATCAATATACTAAATAAAAATAGAAAAAAAAAGAAACTTATATGTATAACTAGTTTATAAGATGTTTTTATTTTTAATGTTGTCAAACTTTTTTATTTTTTTTTTTACTTTTGAAAATTTAACAACAAAAAGTCAACAACACAACAAAACTATATTTATTAAAAACAAAAAGTATTTTTTTATAACATAGTTGTTTAGTCTGCTGGTCAAAATTTTACATTAAAAAACATATTTAAAAAAATTATTATTTTTTTATAATTTTTTTTTAATTATAACAATTAATAAATATTTTACAACACATGATAATCCTTAAGAAAAGAAACAACTTTTGTCTGAAAATTTTATTCCTATTTCTTTTTGTTTAATTTTTTAATAGTTTACGAGTCAGAACATAAAATCGAAAAATAGTCGAATTTTCAAAAATCGATTTTACTTTCTTAAAGTGATTTTGGATAGCAAAAAAAAATTAAAAGTAAATAAATATATATCTATATAAGCACTAAATATCTTCAAAGTTGCCATGCAACCTTCCATAATTTTTTAAATTTCCGAGTTGGAGATCTTTTTTTTTAGTAACATTTTAACATTGATAACAGTAACTATTATCTTTAACAAAATTAAATTTAATACAAACTTTCCGATAAATTTGGATTGATTGTATAAAATGAAAACATTTATAAATTATTCAACAAAATTTAATATTCATTACATTGAAAATAATTTTCTTTTCTTAATTTTAAGATGAAATAGTATATTTTTTATTATTTTAAAATTGTATATTTTTTATTATTTAATTTAATGATTGAATATTGAAAGTTATAAAAATAATAAATAATAAATATATATAAAAAAATAGATATATGCGAATTGAGAGGTATAATAAATGAAATATAACAAAAATGCTAATATTTTTAATAATAAAGTATGAATATTATGGATTTTTAATTTTTTTTTCAATTTTATTTTTTTTTTATTTTGCATGATTCTCTAAACAATCGTTTTTTTTAATACAGTATATCATTATATTGCGATATATTATTTTTATTTTGTTCTAGATGAATCTTGTTCTTTAAGACAATTTCAATGTGCAAATGGTAAATGTATACCACTTCCGTGGATTTGTGATGGAACGGATGATTGCGGAGATAAATCCGATGAAACTATCAAAAAATGTGAAGGTGAGTGATGAAACAGATATTCAAATATATTCACACGTAAAAAAGATTGAGTATTTTAATAAAAAAATGACAAATAAAATGCGATCCATACAATCTGTTTGCACTTATATCGTACTTTTTCATATTTCATCGACTAAAAAAATATTATTTGGTAAAAAAAAAAAGTGTATTCAATTAATATCGGTTGATAATAAGTTAGGATTGTTAAGTTTATCTACTATCAATTTGCTGAAATTTATGCTATTTACAATATACCATTTTATATACTAAGGTGATTCCAGTATTTTATTTCATTATTTCATCTTATCAAATTGAAATGCTTTGACTGATTTTTGATTTGATAAAAAAATAGTTCTTACATCGTGTAATTTTTATTTTCAATTTTGTTCTTGTTAATATAATTTTTCAAATCAAGTCGACTATTTCTGAACTTTGTAATCAATTATGCTAAACAAATCATTTTTGTAAATATTCTAAAATGATTTTTGTTCTTTTTTATTTTTAAGATTAAATTTTTTAATAAATTTTCAATGAATCAATATAATCAATATTCTTTGAAGACAATTCATTTTTTTATTTAAATCGATTGTTTTTTCGAAATATAATTTTAAAGTGATAATTTTTTTTTGTATTTTATTTTTAATAATTTTTAATTTTAATAATTATTTTTAATAATTCTCTTATTATTTACTCTAATATTACTCTTTTTGTTACAATTTTAAATATAATATTTATTATTTAAGATTAGTTAAATTCAAATGATAAAACAAGTAAATTAAATTAATATATCGATTAATATAATGATTGTTAGCTAAAATATACTATATTGCGTTTTTTTATAGCTAAAATAGTATCATATAAGTTATTAGAGATTTTGAAAAAAGAGATTTTTTTATGTTTATTTCTATTTCTATTATTATTATTTATATATTATTTATATATATAATTTATAATATATATATATTATTATTATTTATATATTATTTATATATATAATTTATAATATATATATATATATATATATGCATACATATATATAATATACTTGAAAATAAATTTTTCAAATTTTTATTATTTTTATTTTAAAAATAATTAAAAATGTTGATAATTTGATTTGTATAAATATGAAAAATAAAATAAAATTATTTGAATTTGAAAAACTTGAATTTTAAGAAAACTTATAATAACTTTCAAAGAAAACTTATAATAATAAATTTTCGAATGTAAATACTTATGATCATTTTCAATTTTTTATCTACAAAAAAATAACTAAGTAAATAACAATAGTATAAATTTGTAAATTATAACATAATGATAATATAAAATATGAATAATAATAATATATAAAATAATTATAAAAATAATAATAATAATATAAATTTTTAATAAAGATTGTAAATGTAAAAAAAATATAATAATAGAAATGTGATATAATAGTAAAAATATTTCGCAAAAATTTTTATCCAAAAAATTGTCCATATATTTCGATCGATATGTTTTTCTACAAGAACTAAAATAAAAAATTGATTGAAAGTTTAATTGAGAAATTTAGTGGAAAACAGGAATTGATATATATTATATCAATTTCGTTATTTTTTTCTATCATTATCATAATTTATTTATCATAATTAAATTTCATAATTTTCATAATTTCAGTTGAAATTTTATAATGCTTTTTATTTATTATCTAATTTATGTATTACATAAAATAAATATGATTCCACACATTTTTTTATGAAAATAAAAATATCTTTAATACGATCTCATGTAAAATTGTAAAAAATATGGCATGTTTCTTTCAATTATTTTTTTATTATCATAGATTTTTTGATTGAATAGGATCATAAGATGAAACGAAATTTGTTGATCATCGTGCTTCGATATAATATATTTATAATTTTCAAGAATAAATATTGTGTATATATATATATATATATATATCATATTTGTAATGGAAACGCGTATATATACATATAAAATATACATATATATTGTATACAAAATCGAAGTAGATATAAAAATTTAAAAATTGATTTTAGAAATTAAAACAACGATTGATATGTATATAATATTTCAATTCAATTGAAGCTTATTTTTCAAATCATAAACATTTAAATTTTACATTAAATATTCCGAAATGATTATATTATTTATTTATATAGTTTTACATATTTTAGTAGAAAAATTGTTTTTTAAAAAATTATATTTGAGTAATAAAATTGATAATAATTTCTGAATATTGTAATAAAATTATTGTAATAAAATATTATATTATATTATTATAGATATATACAATTCTTTTTTTTTATTTATCTGTTATTAAATTCGAAATATAAATTATTTAATTCGAAATATAAGTTCTCATTTTGTAATTTATCTTAAATTGTGGAGATAGAAATTTTTTAATTTAATAATTTTAAAAAAATTTCAAAATTGTTTGCAGTATAAAAAAAATGTTTGAAATGTTTGAAATAGAAATTGAATAACATCAAGATAAATATAATATTTTAATATGAATGAAACTGAAATATTTTTTAGTTTCCATATTCTATTTATTTGCATGATGGGATTAATATAAAAAATGAGATCAATATAAGAAAGAAATATAAGATCAATGGAATATCAACAAGATTGAATTGTTTGAATCACCAAAAAAAAAAGATTCTATAATTTGAATGCAGATAATTTTATTTATTATCTAACAGAATATTTCTTGTAATTTAAATTATTGATCTAATTATTGTATTATTTTTATTTTTATTATTTCTTTTTATTTTAATAATCATTTTTATTTCATTTTAATTTTATTTTAAGTTTTTATTCTACTATTAAGTTAAGTTCATAAGTTTTATAGATTCTAATTTTTTAATCTCTTTTTCAAAAAATTTCTTGTTCTTTTCAAAAATCTATTTTAACATTAATTTTAGTTCAATTAATTTGATTAATTATATCAATAGTATAGAAAGTATATAGGATTATAATATTTTACTTTATTTGTGTGTGTATGCTGTACTTATATAAAATAACTAAATAAAATAGACATAGCAAATTAGATTAGAAATATTATTTATTAAAAAAGAATATTATTAAAAAAATAAATTTCTTGATTGAATTTTTAATGTAATTGAGTAAAATTTTTATTTATTAATATAAAATGATATTGTAAACTTCGATTTACTAAAAATGTTGAAATATTGAAGAAGAATGTTTATGGAAAAATCTGAAAGAAAGCTATGCAAAAAAAGAATATCGAAGAATAGGATAATATCGCTGAAGGAATTGAATAACAGCTATTCATAGAAGGGAATTCTCCTCCTCTGTTCAGTTTTTTGAAATATTGATTATTTATACTTTATATTCTTTTTATATTCTTTTTTAATAGATTATTTTTTAAAAATTCATTGAAACAATTGTTTATTAATATTTGATTTTTTCTTGCAATTCATTTTTTTATATTATTTTATTTTTTTAATAATTTTCTATATATTTCTTTTTAAATTTTATTGAATCTTTAACCACTTTAACTAAAAAATGGCAAATTTTATGCATTGATATAGATTAATCAATATTATTCAATCAATTTTCTTTTGGATAACTACATTTTTTCGAAACATTTTTATTTTTCAGAATATAGCACTACTATCATCGATATATACACAATTTTTATTTCATGAAAATATCTTTAAGTAAAATAACTTAATAATAACTTAATTAATTAAAAGAGAGAGATTAATTAAAAAATGAAAAAAATATCATATAATAGAATCTATATTCATAAAATAGATATTCTAAATTCATATTTGACGAAATAAAAATATTATTTATTATTAATATTTTTAAAAGTATTATTTATTTAATAAATCATTATATTTCAATGCATTCACCTGAAATTATATATCTTCATTTCATCATATCTTAATTTCTAAACTTATTCAAAATCTAAACTATACAGTTTAAATGATGTATAATTTAAATCATGATTATTAAGTCTAAAACTTGATCAAACACAAATTTTTTCTATTTCTTTTTCCTTTCACATGATATTGCAGTCGTAAGAAGTAAGTTATTAATAATAAGAATACTTATTCATATAAAATAAATTGATTTGCATGTATAATTCATAGTAATAAATGTAATTTTGAAATCCAAATAAAATGGAAATTTTTTTTAAATTATGTTGTTTTAATGGACAAAACAAATGGACAAAATGTCTTTATAAATTGGTATTTGTTATATTATTGTAAATATTAGAATATATAGCAACAAGAATGTCAAAAAATTATTCCATATTACTTCAATGAAAACATAGCCTAATCCCATATATTTTTTCTTTTTTGAAGAATCTTCAAGAAGAAATTTAAATTTTATTTTACTATATTATATTGCAAATACAATCTTTATTATATATTTATTTATATAATATTTGAAAAAAATATAAAATATTAATAAAAAAATCCTAATGGTACAATTTTATGACTCCTAATCATAAAATTAAATTTTATGATTAGTGACTCCTAATCATTAAAATCATTTAAAAAATCATAATAAAATTATTATTTACGAATATGTTATATTAATTTATATTAATTATTAATATTATTAATATTAATAATTAATAATTAATATAATTAATAATATATTTAATTTATATTAATTATTAACAAATAAGAAAGATGTTCATGTTTGGTTAAAACTTCTCAGTTATCAGATTTAAAGGAGCCATTCGTTCGACGTTCTTCTCGCCATACCAAACTTGGTCGATTCGCCTCGTCCTCCGATTCTTTTTTTCTACGACTTTTTTCTTCTTCATCATTGTCGTCGTCTTCTTAGTTGAAATCCCAGTTGCCCCCTCTTACTGTGCCTAAGGCTCTCATAATTTGTAGCGTAAAGCTTGCATCAGTTGCATCAGAATCTCCATCCATTTTGAAGAACCGATACGGCTGCACAGAAATGCACATGTATATATGTATACATAAACGGTTCTTGGTACTATATAATTA